TCTACATCCTATAGCATAAAAAAAGGACTATGCTGAGAGGTCTTCTTGAATAGACTTATTATCACAACTGACAAGCTTTCTTTTCTTCCTTTTTTTTTTTTTTCCTCAGTTTTCCATGACTTGGGCTGTGACTAATTCCATTATTTTTCCGCTAATTTCTCTGTGGGGCTTTTCTCAATGCCTGGAACACTTCAAGCAATTGGTGGCAGTTTGCTCTGGGTTTATTTATGACATTGGCACCTATTTCTGTTCCTCATCTTTGTCCCTTTTATTCTTCACTATCATTGCTATGGTGATCACTATTTCATATCTACGGGGTATTTTAATGTTGTAAATATTATAAGTTTAGACCTATATAAAATAGCACTAAGGTTTATACACTACAAATAATGAATGCTTTGCATGAATGCACAAGCACAAGTATGCAAATGGACTTTATTTTACAAGTGTTTGTTATTCATCCTAGTGTTTTACATCCAATGGTCTTTTTGATTTAATATCCTTTTTCATAAATGATAATAATTCACTTTAGTAGTAAAAGTTAGTTCAGTCTCTTGGTACTACTGGGACATCATGAACTCATCCAAACAATCAAAGACCTATTATGACAAGAATTATTCTAATAGCTTTATAAAAATGACAATCATGATAATAAATTAACTAACAAAGTAGCAATCCCTTTCCTCAAGGGGTTTATTGCCTGGTAGTGAGAAGAAAGACCAGCAAGCAATTACGCTATAATTATAAAGTTATACAGAATAATCACTGTAATGGATGGATGACACATTGAAGTATCAATAAGTGGGTTTAAGGGAGTTGGGATAACTTCACAGAGGAGGGAATATTTAAGGAGATGCTTTAAAAAGTGTGTCCACAAGCAGGAGATGGTGAGAAGGGAGAATTATTCCAGAGAAGGGAAGCATGGGCTTAAGCACAGCAAAACAGGAAACCAAGAGTGCTCAGAGTGTATCTGAGTTCAGTATTAATATGAGAGAAGAAAATGATGTAAAAGGAAATGAGAAATAAAGCTATAAGAGAACAGAGCTGACCCTGGGAACCTCATATGCCACAGAAAGGCTGTAGATTTTATTCTGTGGACAGTCAGTGTATTTTCATCTAAGGTATTTATCCCTTTTTAATTAATATTCAATTCACTAAAGTTAATAATGCAAAAGCCTAATTTATTTTATGTGCTTAAATTTACATTTTATAACTCATTATTCTATTTATACATCTAGTAATTTTTATTTAAGTAAGAATTATTTTCAGGGGGGATCATTGATTTATGATTGGATAACTCAAGTGGTTCAGACTAAACTTTCAGATTCAGAGTTCTGTTTATAAATTTAGTTAATGAAACTCTCTTAGATGTTTTACGTCGTATGTACAAATTTAGTATATTGAATTTCATTTTTAAGTATGTCAAATACATGAATGGACAAATTCAATGATTCCATTGCAAAACTCTTTCAAGAACTTAAATGACTTTTGTAAATCTATTAAATTGATCTACATCTAGTTCTCTTAAATACTCTAATAGCATTTGCAATTAAATTTTTCTTATACTTTTTAAGAAGTATATTTCTTATGAAATATTTTAAGCATACAAAAGGCAGGGAGAATAGTAAAATGAACCCCCACATCCCCTTCACCAACTTCAACCATTATAAACTCATGGCCAATCTTGTTCCATCTGAAACCCCACCCACTTCTCTCTTCTAATACTATTTTGAAACTAATACCAAACATCATATAATTTCATCCATAAATATTTCAGCAGGTATCTGTAAAAAATAGATCGTGTGTATTAGTATAAAATATCAAGACGATGTTTAAAATTTCAGTTGTTTCTTACATCGTTTTGTGTGTATTTTAAGTTCATTTGAGTAAGAATCCAAAGTCTATACATCTTCATTGGCTTATATGTTTTATAATTCCCTTTTAGGTATAGGTTTACTCTCCACTTCTTTTTTTGTTTATTCCTTGTAATTTATTTGGTGAAGAACTCAAGTTGTTTGTGGGCACTGTAGTTATCCCTAACCTAGATTTGCTGATGGCTTCTCTATAATATAGCTGATGTGTTCCTCTCTCCTCTCTATTTCCTGTAGATTGGCAGCTGGATGTAGAGGTGTCTTGATCAAATTTAGTTTTTTGTGTTTTGGTTTTTTGTTTGTCTTCTTTGTTTGTTTGTTTGTTTTTGTAAGACTCATTCCTAGATGATGGTGTGTTCTTTTACCAGGAGCTCATAATGTACGCTTGACTCTCCTTTTTTAATGTGAACAGTGACTGACACTACCTAGAGTCCTTACTTTTCAACTAAAATGTAAAAAGTCGAAACCACAGATTTTAAATTGATGTGACAAATCTAACTGAATGCTCTCTTATGTAACAAATCTCTTAAATATTGCCAATACTTAAAATATTGAACATACATATATTATACCAATAATTATAAACCTTATTTCACAAAATTTTTTACCACGAGTTTGGCTCACTCCATCATTTCCACACTTAATTCTGAATCTTTCAAGGACTAAAAAGACTCTTTAAGGGAGATGAGTGTCTTGTCATGACCAATTTAATGGGTTGCTTAACTGAACCTTCACACTTACTTTAATAGAAATGGAAGCATGTACAAGTTTAAGTTAAATTTTCAGTTTTCAATTTTTTTTAAGTAAGTTTATTAGATTAACTGCTGATCACTACACATGTTTGCCATCTCAGGTAAAGACTGAGACATATATATTCATGGCAATTGTTCCTGTGCCACAAATGTACCCACTGAGCCCTTGTTATGGTGCTAGTGATAAGAAGGCACTTCCAGCACATGATCTTCAAACGTGGTTAGTTTTGCAACCAGCATGTCTTGGGTTCAAGTAACAATGTTTCCTAATTCATTAAGTAGTTTGAGTATTGAACATGAGAGTGATATAATCATATTTTTGTGTTAGAAAGGTCACTTTTGTAAAAGTTGGAGAAAGGACTGTCAGGGTGGGAAAGAAGAGGAGCAATTCTGGTCACTAGAATACTAGCCAGATGGCTCCTGCAAAAGTCTACACTAGAGATGGTATAATCCTGTTCTCATGTCTAGCAAGAGAAGCTGAAGAGGGAAGGAAATTATAGGAGATATTAAATACGGGGAACTGACAGAACTTGACCACATTGATGTGAGGCTGAAGAAGAGTAAGAAATAAAGTATGACCTGAGTCTTGAGTGGATATATAAATTATGGCACATTCACCAAGAGAAGAAACCTAGTAGGGAGAACAGGCATAGGCTGGGATGAAAAAGGGAAACCTCAATTATGTTGATATGCAACTGGCTATGGGGCATCCCAGTAAAAATGTATATAGATTAGTCTGAAACTCAGAAGAGAAGCCTGGGCTAGGGATGTCAACATGAAAGTTATCAACATTAAGATAATATGTGAAGCTTTGGGGATATATAAGAACATTCAGGGACAACCGTAGAGTGGGGGAAAAACAGAAGAAAGCCAAGACCAGAACACTATCACCTAAAGGGGAAGTCAAAAGAAAATAAACCCACAAAGGAAATTGTGGGACAGTGGCCAGCGAGACAGGAAGTGAGCGAGGAGATATTTCTCATGGAAACAAACAAAGGAGACTCAAAGAGGGCAATACAGCTAATACTGTCACGGGCCATGAAGCAATCAAGTAAGATACAGGCTGAGAGGTGTCCAGTGGACTTGGCAATTAAGATTTCTAAGAGTAGTTCCAGTGAAGGAGTGACAATAGATTGTAGTCAATGAAGAAAGGAGTGGGAGGAGAGGAAGAAGAGCCCGCGAGTATAGACAGCATCTTCTAGGCTGGGAAAAGAATGCGGTAACACATAGAATTCAGAAAGGCAGAGAAGTTTTTGTTTTTGATGGATGAGAGTAGCTTGGGCTGAGGGAGAAAACTAAGAATGAGATATTTAGAGGTGGGGAGTGGAGGAAGAAGAGGCATATAATTAATATGACACCTGGAAGAGAGGGGCTCATTGAAGGAGTAAAATCACTGAGAATTCAGATGGGATTCAGGACACGGGTGGAGAGAAGAACTTTTGTGGGGAGAAGGTAAGGATGGGTATAACTGCACATAAGTTTGTGGGTTAAGGAAATGCATTTTCTGAAAAGAGTTCACACTCAATAGCTGCTGTTTTATCAGTGAAGTAAGAAACAGGGTCATCTAATTATAGGGGAGAGGGAAGAAATCGCAGGTTTGAGGAAAGCAGTGAAGGTTTTGAATAGGTATTGAGAAGGATGATGTAAAAGAAGGTTGACTAGAAAAAAAGAGTAATGAGATTATAGAATAGTGCCAAGGTACAGCTGAGACTGGATCATGGAATAGTGCCAAAGTACAACTGAGACTGGATCATGGAATAGTGCCAAGGTACAGCTGAGATTGGAGTAAAATTGGAGTCAGTAAAATTGGCAGTTTTCTCCAGCTATGATAATCAGCCTGGGGATAAGACTAGAAAATGTACATAAATCATTAGGGATTTATGGGGCCCAGGTATTGATAATGCTGTTAAGAGCAGGTGGAGTAAAGCAGTTAGAACGAAGCATCTTGGAGTCTAAGCCACAAAGTGATGGAAGTAAAGCCAAGAGGAAACCATCTGAAGAAGAAAGAGTCAGGGATTGGAACTAATTCTCTTTGGTATATATGCCATAGAGCCAATCAAATGCCTTCAGAATCCCAGAATTGAATGATTTATTTACTGCAGATGTAACTGAAAGCATATTACTCTCCAGAAGCAATGAATTATTTGTACATGTCTGCTATAAGTGGACACTGCTGTACTCAAGCTTCCCAATTCTCCATTTCTGCCACAGTAGTAGCATAAATATATGGCTAAAGCCTATTCTAGTGATGTATGAAGTGTTCAAGCAGCAAATATTAAAGAGAAAAGAATAATTCAGAAAACGATCCTTTTTATTTTTTATTATAAGATAAGCATCTACTTGTTTCATTTTTTCTTTTCTCCTTTCTTGTTTTCAGAAGCCCTGCCAATGAGGAAAACCAAGATGGTTTCATGCGTACAGATGGTAAGAGGCAAAAGACATTTTATTTATTTGTTATCTTAGGTACAGAAGTTTGAGTTAAGCATTTTCATAGGGTCACTTATGGGTCCTTGTCATCATTGGTTCATACAGCACCGCTCTCATTTTACTTGTTTATTCCCTTTATCCTCACAACCCAGCCCCCGTTTTCTTCTCCCTTACTGTAGACAAATACTCTAATGTATTTTTAATGTGTATGTGTGTGTTTGAACACATTCTTTGCATAGTGTGGTGTGCATGCATATATATAATTTACATAAACAGCATGTTATAGGTCATTGGGTTTTTTTGCACATTACATTCGGGCCCATGCGTGTCACCATGTGTACATCTAATCTGTTGCTGTTTGCACTGCACTCCATCGTTTGCATCCGCATGTTACTTGCCTCCAACTCACTGGTACCACAAATCCTCCTGCAATGCACTTTCTCATGCCATGTGGGATAAGTCCAAGACTTTCTTTAAGGTATATATCCAGCAGGGGAGTGGTTGGTCATAAGCTATAGAATCCTTATTTTCACTGAGTAGGACTAGAGTGCCCTCCAGAAGAGAAGCATCTGTCTACACTCTCATCAACAGGTCATGGAGGTTCTATGACCCTACCTTTCACCAGCACATGGCATTATTCAGCTTTCCAATTTTTTTCCAGTCTCACATGTATAAAATGATATCTCTTGATTTTCATATCTCCGCCTAATCTCAAGTTTGAGCGCTTCACTTGCTTATTAGTCTTTGTGGTTTCCTCCTCTCTAAGTCGCCACTTTCTATCCTTTGACCATTTTTTTTCTTGGGGTTGGTATCCTTTCCTGGTTGACTTGCAGGAATCCCTTTATATTCCAGACATTAGTCCCATGTCAGTTTCAAACATTTGCAGGTATCTTCTCTCTTTCTGTCCATTGTCTATTAGCCCATATTGTTTGTTCTTCATTGATCATAAATAAATTTTGATATAATCAAATTCATTGATTTTTGCTTTGTAATTTATGCTTTTTCAATTTTATTTGAGAAGTCTTTGCTCTAGGAAATAAAAGTGTTCTCTTATTTTTTTCTATGAACTTGATCGCTTGTATTTAGGCCTTTGATCTCTTTGCAGTCCCCCTTAGGAGTTACTAGAAATTTAGAGTTGTTGCCTTTTAAATGGAGCCAGTTTTCTCATTTTCGTACTCTAGACAATTCATCTTCTTCTCATCAATTTATAGTGCTACCTTTACACTACATCACCTCTGTGTGTGTGTGTGTGTGTGTGTGTGTGTCCTACATGAGTGTGCTTATGTAAGTTTGTGTGTCACTGAGCTCTGCTCTATTCCATTAGTCTATTTGTTCTTATACCAACTGTTTTTATTGTTAATATTAGTATTATTATATTATTGCTCTTAATATTAGATTATGTCTTGATATCTGGTAATTAATTTATATTACACTGAACTCTTGAGCAGTAAAATATTTTTTTAATCTAGTTAGCTTGATTTGTTTGATACATAAAAGCAAATCCTTGGGAACAAATTAGTCGAAAAGGTGAGCTAATGACTTTTTTGATAATTCTCTGTTTGACACAAGCCCATAGAACCAGATGTACATGCCTTTTATAAAGGGAATAATTGATGTCTTCATTATTTTTTTGCTTTTGCATTATTTTGCAATGAAATAATTTTATAATTACGTTATTATAAGTATCAGAAAAGCTATAGTAAAAATCTAAGTCACATTCTATTTTTTACTTCTATGTTTTTGATAAAGCATGATTTCTGTTAGATGGCTTTTGCATTATTTTGCAATGAAATAATTTTATAATTACGTTATTATAAGTATCGGAAAAGCTATAGTAAGAATCTAAGTCACATTCTATTTTTTACTTCTATGTTTTTGATAAAGCATGATTTCTGTTAGATTATAAACTGTTTTGAGTGTTATATTAAATCCAATAATCCTATATTAAAGTGCTTCTTAATTTCTTAATTGCAGTATATTTAATTTTATTCTTTTTCATTAATCCTTTAGGTACTGGAAATCTAGATGAGGTCAGATTTTCTTCTTTTTTTTCCCCATAGTATATTGCTATAACTATATGATAGATCTTCAAAAAGTTCATAGAAAGATTTGTATTATCTTTAATCTGTTTTCCATGAACTTTTTGAAGTACCCTTGTATTTAACAATTATTGTGATTCACTTCCTATTGATATAAACCAAACAAATGAAAATTCTTATGAGTAATGATGATATTTTTCCACTTATAATCTTATTTCATCTAAAATGCTTGAGACACTAAACACCAATCATTACACTGACTTATAGTCATGTAGTGCTTAAGTTTATGTCTGGCAACGCACCTGAATTATAAAGCAGGATGGAAAATGAAATCTTTTGTGCTTGCTTTCCCAGTCTATGTCTAAAGAGGAAAAAATATTTTAAACAGCCAAACTTACATAAGTTACATAACTTACATATACTTAAACTATATAATCTTACAAATACTTGTTAGTTACTAAGTATTTGATGAATATAGTATGTGTATGTTACCTTTCTAAGTAATCAAAATTAATCATTATCAATGTTTCTCTTGGCAGGAACAAGAGAGTGAAGGAGAAACTTATGAAGATATGTATGAACTACATCTTTACCATGAGATTTTCCTTCTAAGATTAATATTATGGTTTGCATGAGAGAGAGTAGAACTATGACACCACAAACGGGGAAAGCTTTATTTGTTCAGACAAATGGCATATAATGATGATCTTTATTTTAATACAAAGGACTAAAACTTTTTAATTCTCTAAGGATTTCACAGAGGACTCTGTAAGAAAGGCTGTGTGAGAAGCCAGAGACCTGCAGTCTACCAGATAAACCATAGGCAGGGAATGAGTCAGGAATCCGTATTTCCTGCTGTCAGTGTGTCCTTGGGCAAATGAATTAATTTACATGTTATGCTTTCTTCATCTGAGCAGTGCTTCACCCACAGGGGTGCTATGAGAAATAATTTAACATGGCACCCAGATGCCAAAGTTTCAGCCTGCTGAAGTGGAAAGATACTAAAAAAATAGCTCAAAAATGGGTTTCTAGGTAGCCCAGGCTAAGAAATTTCTTGGAAAGTGGGTGAAAAGTATAAATCAATATGTTATTTTGTTGTATGTTGAGCTCAGATATCTTAATTTTCTCTATCCAGTTCTTGTTCAACCAATGCTGACTAAAGTTTCTGATCCAAAGTTTGGATGTGTACCTGAGAACGCATGCACATGTGTGCACATGAAAGAGAGAGAGGGAGACAGAAAGAGATAGAAATTGATTCTATTCATGCCCACATGCAGCAAGAAAAGGACCTTCATACACAGCATTTTCCACTTGCTAGCACAAGTTGTAAGGAGCCATGGGAAGGTGTCCTCAGCTGTGTGCCTCCTACTGGTTTTAAAAACAATCTAACACATTCAGGATTCTGACAACCCTTGGCTTTTCGGCTTCATCTATACTTCAGATCTCATCTTCCATAGTGGGTAGAAGCCTCTTTAGATAGTGAGCCCTCACACTGTCACATTGACACCTGCAGATGCAGAAACAACCAAACAATTTTTATTCACAGAGAATCATCCAAAGAACGAGAAAAGAAAAGGGAAAAGGAAGAAAAGAAGAGATTGGAGCTGGAGAAAAAAGAACAGAAAGAGAAAGAAAAGAAAGAGCTAGAAATAAAGAAGAAATTTAAAGTAAGAACTTAGTTGCTCATGGGTGAAAGAGTAACATCTTTATATAACTTTCATACAAAAAGAACACCATTCTTGAAAACTTATACAGTCGCATAACTACTTAATCATTGTTTTCTGAAGAATAACTACTTCAGAACAGTGCGTTTTTGTCTAATACGATCCCTTATCTTTGCACTAAAAAATGTAATATGATAAAATCCAAGTAAAATAGGGTGGCTTATAATTAATAGGCACCTAGGAAATTTTATGTTGATTGAGTGAATGAATCCTTGGTTATTTAAACACATCTTATCTCTCCTATTTATGCATTGCATATTAGCCTACTTATACTATGAGCTCAGGACCACACACATAGATCTCCCTGTAGTGTGTATTACACTGGTGAAGGGACACAGTGTCTCCTGAAGGAACCAGACCTGTCTCAGAATAAGATTTCTATGAGCTACTCTAATTGCTGATGTCTGGCCTGACTTACATTTTTGCCTTCATTTTAAGCCTACATACACGCCAACTTCTGATACCTGCTATTTCTCAACCCTCTTTGTCTACGTGGTTATCTGACCTCTGTCTTCTTTGATCTCTGGTAATTATGTGACTTCTGCTATCAATGACATGGCCCAGTTGATATGGGTCTGGTATGTTAGATATATTTAGAGTGATTATCTCAATTACAAAACTATTCTTGACTTTAAAAGAGATTCATATCATGGTTTCTTAAAAAACTTTCTCCTCTGGAGCATTTAATATATAGTTTGAATTATAAAATTTTGATTTGTATGTAACTTCCCTGTACATTTATTGTATTAAAGCAAAGGTTCAACAGTATAGTGCAGGGAAAACATACAGCTTAGAGTCAGTGGACAGATGTGGATTCAAATTCCAGCTCCACATACAAGTTATGTGATCTTGGGCTTATTACTTAACTTCTCTGAGCTTCAGATTCTTATTCTTTAAAGTGAAAATAAATGATACTTCTCCAGAAAATTTTTTATGGAATTAAATAAATAATACGTGGGAGGCATTATATCTGTCATAGATTCTCATTAAATTTTGAAAAAGTTTACTATATATAAGTAAAATTATGATTACAGTATGAATATTAAAACATTTTATTTACACAGAATTCATGGCTACCAATGTTTATATTTTTTCAAGTGAAAAATTAATTTCTTAAATGAAAATCTATATAATACACTTTCATGAACAGATTTGTTTATAGATTTGAAGGAATGATGTAATTTTCTCTTTTGGAGAAATTAGTTGTACACTCATTTGTTCAAATAATATCTTTTTAGGAAGAAACAAATAGGGTATAGAAATCATACCAGTAAACTCAACAGTTTGTCTAGACTAGGATTCACAAACTATATTCCTTCTGCAAGATGTTAATAGATATTGGATAAAAAAGTTAAATAAATGTATGGACTTAGCCCCATCAATATCATGACATACCATAATTTATCTTAAGCTATTTTCTTTACTTCTTAGTGACACATAAATTTTTTTAATTTATTAAGAAAATAATTTATTTTTTAGTTATTATTTTCTGTATTTCTTAGTGACACATAATTAAGGATATATGTCTTACAATTCATGGCACCATAAATTTAATAAAATAGAGTTTCTTCAAAAGTCACAATGCATATTTGCACAATTACATATCAAAAAATCCAGGAAATTCTGTTCAAATACACTAATTTAGGATTAGAAAATTAGTAGTTTAAGGTTAATGATCTAAACTGGATTATTCCCCTGCTGTCAAGAAATGCCCATGTTATTCATAATATTAATTTTCAAAATTTCTCATAACATTTGTTTGCTGGTTTATTTATTTATTTTTTTTATTTTTATTATTTTTTTTTAATTTTTTTTTGTCAATATACAATGTAGTTGGTTATTATGGCCCATCACTGAAACCTCCCTCCCTCCTCCCTCTCCCCCCTCCCACCCAAGAACGTCCTTTCCATTTGCTTGTTGTAACAACTTCAAAAGATTGTAGTTGTTATATCTTCTTCTCCCCCCCCCCCCCCCGGATTTCTTTTTTGTGTGTGTATGTGAGTGAATTAATTAATTTATTTTTAGCTCCCACCAATAAGTGAGAACATGTGGTATTTCTTTTTCTCTGCCTGACTCGTTTCACTTAATAT